CGAGAGGGTAGCGGAGGGGCAGCTGGCGTGCTGCGGCCACGAAACGCTGTGAGAGGAAGTGACCCCCGCCGGCCGCAGACAGCGTCCCTGGCTCCGGAGCACGGCCCAGGCTAGCGCCACGCGGTCCTTCCAGGGGACGGAGCTTGCTGCCAGCGTGGGAAACGCGAACAACACAGGAAGCCGCCGCTGCCTGAGGGCTCCCGAGGTGGGCACGGCGGAAGACTCATCGAGGAAGAAGCCCCTTGAGAAAGAGCTGAAGCATTTGCAGAAATTCTTGGCATTCTGGCTGAGGCGGGGTTGATGGGGGGACGGGGGAGTGGTAGCTAAGGAGCGCCGACTGTATGCCCACACTGTGCTATAAACTTACGTACGCTCATACTGTGTGTGCGTGCGTTATTAGGGGTCGAACTTTCAAATCTGAGGTTCTGTACACACATGTTGTCATTCTCTGTATTTCCTTGCCATTTATACCAAAGTCTTCACAAAAAATAAGACTTTTAAACTTAATTTTATTTTTAATGTATTTTTCAGTTTGAAGCAAGGTGTCCCTTAGTAGTTCAGACTGGCCTTGAACTATGTAGCCCAGGCTGGCTTTGAGCTCATAGCAATCCCCCTGCCTCAGCCTCCCGAGTGCTGGGGTTACTGAGTGCACCACCAGCACCAGACACTGTGAAAGTGTCTTCCCACTCTGCTTGAGCACTGAGAGGACAGCTAGAGACTCTCACTCCACTCGCCTCAGGCAAACATGCTGCCCTGTGTCTGGCGCGCTGGCATTTCCTGGCACAGGACATGACACGCTGACCATTTAAAATAAACTACGGGGGAAAATATGTGTGTGTGATAGGGCCTTACAAGCTAGCCCAAACTGGCCTTGAACTTGCAGTCCCCGGCCTCAGCTTCCCGCTGTGCCCCGCCACGCAGGTGGGACCTGAGCCGGGGGCAGAGCTGGTTTGGCCGCACTGGCCACCGTGAAATCCTGCGCAGTTCTGGGGTTGACGCCAGACCCTCGCTGCACCCGCAGAAAGCTCTGCCGCTGAGCTCTGCGGCCCCCACTGCGGCTGTGGATCGGTTGTCCTTCCAGCCCAGGGCCAGGACCTGGCGACCCTCTGCAGGGAGGGCACAGTGGGGACAGAAGGGAAGGGTCCGAGCTGTGGGGATGTGTGGAGGCAGGGAAGGAGCTTTCCCGGTGCTGAGGGGTGGCGCTTGCCTTGAGGGAGAACGGCCAACCTTGAAGAGGCGCCAGAGCTTGAAAGATTCCTTGCAGAGTGGACGGGAAGGCCTGAGGCCTGGAGCCGAAGTCTGGGGCCTGGTGCCTGGGCCATGCCGGGGCCTCTGTCCGCCCCCAACAGGCTTTGGGACCTGCTGGGTGGGCCCTAGCGGTGGTGGAGTCACAGAGCAGCGACAGCGCTCGATTAGGGAGGGATGTGTGGCTGACTGGCCAGGTGACGAGGGCAGGGCCTGGCGCGGGCAGAGCCAGAGGGCTCTCAGGTTGGCATGACTCAGGGCTGGGTTCATGGGGTGCTGGGGTCGGGAGCAGCGGGTCCCAGGCCTGCTGCACAGCTCTGTTGGAGATCAGGTGACCCGAGGGACAATTTGTTCTGGGGAGGAACCCCCGGGCTCAGCTGGAAGGTGTGAAGTCAGCCAGGCCCTGCTCCCGCGAGGCCCGGCCCTCGGGCTCCTGTACAGTCTGTGCCTTAGGTGAAGGGCTCCACTGCGGCACGCAGGGCAGTAAGGCAGAGCCACCCAGCCCCGCCCCACCCTACGCCACATGGATGCCTTCATGCGCACGATGACCTTCTCCTGGGGTCAGGGGGCCACTGGCACCAGCACCCAGCAACGTTTCCATCAGAAGTTAGCTTGGAATTGCAAAGCGTCCTTCCATCCTGTTCAGAAGGCCAGCGTCCCCCAAGGCTTCAGTCACATAAGGAATGTGAGTGCCCCGCGCCTTGTGAGTCTATCACCTGGTGTGCCCAGGACTGCGGGGGTGACTCCGGCTCTCGAGAACAGGATGATACACCTCTCCTTGCCAACTCCAGACAGGTGCCTCTGAAACCAGGACCACGGCCCTCAGAGCTGCGAGAGTCTGACCCGGCGCGTTGCTCAGTGGAGGCCCAGCCCTGTTTCTTCCTTTGCTTTCCTATTTTGCATCTGTTGGCCAAGGAAAGGGTCATGCTTTGTTAGCAAAAATCACTTTCATGTTTGTGGGTGTCTCCAGGTGCACACACCTGTAATCCCAGCACCATGAGATTACACTACGGCAGGAGGATCACAGGTTCAAGCCCAGCCTGGGCAACTCAGCAGTTCAGCATGAAGTTGTCTCAAAACATAAAAGAGACTTGGTGTAGAGGCCCTGAATTCCACCCCTAGTACTGCAGTACGAGCAGGGGAAAAAGAAGATAGTCCCCGATGCTCCCAGAAGAAAACACAAGCTGCGCTTTTAATGCATAACAGGGTTAAGGCCCAGGAGCTTGCTTGTCCTCTGTCGCTGGGGTGGGCTGTGTTGGTTACTTTTCTCTCGTTGCTGAGACAAAATACCCCACATCCAAAATTAAGGAAGGAAAGGTTTATTTAGCTCACAGTGTTTCAGTCCATAATCAGCTGGCTCCAAGGCCGGGTGGCGTGGTGAGGGCAATAGTTCATGGTGGCAGAAGACAGCAAAGCAAGAGAGCCCAAGGTGTGTGGGGGATGCAAGCCTCTTTCCTTCCCTTACGTTGTATGCAGGCCACCCACCCTCACCATCTCTGTACCCTGCTCTTGCACAGGCTCAGAATATTTACAAAGTGAGGACCCTGGCCCCCTGCTGAGTTGCTTAGTTAACCTAAACTTCTCAAGTTGACACAGCGTATCAGCCATTACATGGGTGCTGGCTCTGCCATAACTTTGTCGTTTTGTGTGAGGGTGCTGAATGGCCCCTCACCCCATACATTTTTGGCACACCAAGCAATTTGACCTACAGGAAATTAAAAGTCCTTAAAAGCAGGGCTCGCCAACCTTCCAGAGAGCCCATGGGACCATGCACTGCCTGACAATCACTTTGACCCCTCGGAATCGCCTGCAATTCTCTCACCTGCGGGGACAAAGGGTGTCGAAGCTTCTGCTCATGTTGGGCCAGAGGGTGATGACTCTATGTGGCTGTCACCCCACACCAGAAGTCTGCGTCTTTTCTCCCATTAATCTGCCTTTGTCGGCTTCCTCCAGCAAAACTTCCGAGTGCACAGGGGAAATTTCTCTTTTCCTCATAATCTAACCTTTCTCCAAGCCCACAGGGGCGCCGGGGTGAGGGCTTTCGGAATGACAGAAGCCATTATGTGCTGCAAACTGCTGATAAGGAAGGAAAGGTAAAATGAAAGTGAATCCCAGCAGGAGGGCCCCGCAGACACCCGTGGGGCTCATTCAAATTTCTGCAAACAAAATGGAATTTAGGGAAGGGGAAAAATGAAAACGCACTTTCTGGGTCTGAAAGATAAGGCTGAAGTGTGAGATCTTGAAAAGCTGTAGTTTAGGCTGCACACTTCCAGTCTGCAAACCTTCAAAGCTTGGGACAGCCGGGAGAAATTTCCCCTCCCTTCCTCTCTCCCTCCTTTCCTTTTTCTCTGCCTCCACCTCCTCCTTTTCCTCTTCCTCCTCTTCCTCCTCCTCTGTCCCTTCTCTTCCTCCTCCTCCTCTTCCTCCTCCTTCATTGATTTCTTGGCTGTGTTATCTGAATCACATCTCCCCCACAGGGGTAATCAGGCTTCCCAGCTTCGGGCAACTCACTGCTGGGTTTTTCCTCTTGTCTGGAAAAAGACAAGCTGATGTGCTCATGGTATCAGTGGAAATGCCTTATTGCCCTAACAATGTCCTTGAAGCTGCCCTCTTGGCAAAGAATTCGAGAAGTTCAAGAGGGGAAAACAAGGGATTCTTCACACAAGAGCTGGTCCTCCCGTGTCACTGGCCCCTCTGCCCTGTTGGGTCAGCTGGGGGAGGCTCCTCTCCCCACCCGCCTTGGGTTCCCAGGTCCCTGGTTTCCACATGAATAAAGGGGCTCCAGGCACCAGACACACTCTGGGCCCCTGGTCCAGTGTGGCCAGGCTTTCAGGTGTTTCCCTCTCTGAGCGACCTCAATCTGCACATGTTCGTGTCCTCTTCACAGCTCAGAGACCAAGCACTGCGTTGATCTAGCAAATATTTCTGAATGTCAGGTGCATGCATAGCGGCAACCGCCCGGATGAAGAGCCAGCCTGAGCTCTGGAGAGCAGCTCCTGGCCGGGAAACCCGCCTCCCCGCACCCCAGGCCCAGCAGGACCACGGCCCTGTCCCCCACGTCCTCTGCGTCCGGATGCGCAGACTCCCGATCGGGACCTGCTTCCTGTGGTGCAAAGCACAGCTCAAAGCCTCAGTATTCAGAAACTGGGAGGAAATCACCTTTTTTCCTTTAAGTGATGGCCACGCCCCCTCGGCCGGGTGGGGCGAGCCCAGAGGGAGAGAGGAATACCTCTGTCCTTCGGTGACGGGGACGCTTAGGGACACCGGAGCCTGGCCTTCGCTGGGTTGGGAGGCTCGGTCAGGCAGGGCCGGTCACACCCCTAATGGTTTCCGCTGGAAAGGAGCGCAGCTTCCCAGGTCTCCATCTGCCCGCCGGGGCCGAGCTGGGCTGGGTCCACAAAGAGGACAGACAGGGCCCCTGGGGCCTCAGCCTCTTGTGCAGCATCTGCAGCGGGGCGTCAAGGGGGCGCCCCCTCACCCCTCCACGGGCTGTCTGCAGCCGCTGTCTTTAGAGATGTAACAAACGGAGTGGCCAGCGCTCCCCCAGGGCCGGCTCGGAGCGCAGTTCTCCCGGTGCGGTTAGAATTCTCACTTGCTCAGTTCTCTTCTCATCGGTGCTCGTGCGCGGCGCATCGTGGGTGCCGGCGCAGGGACGCAGCACGGCGTAGCTCTTTGTCGTCCTTCCCGAGCCGCCCTCCATCGCTTGGTTTCCTAGGTCACAACCTTTCATCCTGGAAGTTTTTCTCGGTGGTCAAATGCCGAAACCACTCAGCCGCTCAGCTGCGCAGCGAGGCAGAGCTAACAAATTTGTAGAGAAGCCCGCGGCTACGGCTCAGGCGCACACGCCTGGCTGGAACCACGGGTGGCTCGTCGCCGAGCCGGTGCCCACAAGAGCATTTGATTATTTTCTAACAATAAACACTTTGTGGTGAGCCAGTTTTAATAAGAGAGTAGGAGGAATAAAAACCGTGTAGCAGAATCAATTCCTGAAGTCCCTGGGATTGCACCAGCTCTCTCTGCGAGCTGCTGGGACTTGGTTTTTTTCTGCACTTACATTTTGCAGGACTGTGTGTGTGTGTGTGTGTGAGTGCGCGTTTGCTTGCTTGCTTGCTTGCATACTGCTTCTCTAGCTCTGGCTGCGGGATTTGTTAACCAAATGAGCTCCAGTCCCAGCAGGACCACTGTGTTTTGCAGTCAAGGATCCCCTTTGGGAATTTTTCCCCCTGTACTTAAAATTTAGTTCTTTTCCCCTTACTCTTGTGAAATAACGGGTGTCCAAAAGGAGCTGATGTGCACAATAGCTTTCCTGGGCCAACGTGGCTGAGCTCAGTAACTTTCGAGGCTGGTTTGAAATACTCCAGCACAGGCTTGAGGGAGAGGCAATCGTGTGGTTTATCCAAAGCCGGCAGACTCCGTCTCCTGTGTGTGTGTGTGTGTGTGTGTGTGTGTGTGAGAGAGAGAGAGAGTGCGTGCGCAGGCGGCACATGAGTGGGGCTGAGAACGTGTGGTTTGTGTGAAGATGTATTTGTTTCGTGTGTGGGTGTTTGAGTATGAGTGTGTTTTGGGGGCGAACATGTTTGCTCATGAATCTGTGTGTGTTCATCTGTGCATGTGATTGCTTGTGTGCATTAGTGTAAGACTGAGTGTGCAAGCCTGTGTGCATATACACGTGCATACTTGTGTGTTTGTGGGATTGTGTGTGTGCCTGCACGTGTGTGTGTGGGTGCATGTGTGAATGGGAGCCAGCAGCTCAGTGCATACATGTGTGTAGTTGCCTCTGTAGGTTGTGTCTCTCTGTGGGTTTGCATTTTTGCGAGCAGACTGCACACTGTATGTAAACCTGTATTTGTGTATGCAAGTGTGTGGCTGCACTTCTTTCTTTTGCGGCCCTGGGGATTGAACCCATGGCATTTGCACTGAGCTACATCCCCAGCCCTTTTCTATTTTTTTAAATATTTAATTGAGTTGCTAAATTGCCCAGGCTGGGCTCCAGCTTGCCTCCTCCTGTCTCAGCTTCCTGGACCGAGGATTACAGGCCTGAGCTCCCACGTCCGGCTCCTGTGTGTTCTTGTTTGTCGGAGTGTGAGCACTGCATGGGTGTGTACTTGCACCCATGCGTGTCTGAGTGCACGCCTGGGTGCAGCAGTGTGCGCTTTGCGCCTGTGTGCCCCGTGTGGTGTGCCTGAGTCCGCGCGCCCTGCGGTTTGCGCGGCTGCCCTGCTCCGCGTGGTGCTGGTGTGCACCCTGTGCGTGCGCCCCGGCCGAGTGTCCGCGCGGCTGTGCGCCCCGCCGAGAGCCAGGAGCCGTCCCCACCTCCTCCCGCGGGCGGGCGGGCGGGCTCTGCCCTCG